GGGGGGGGAAATCTGAAAAACAAAACCTCAGGCATTCTTTATACACCCTAAAGATGAAAAAGGTCAACAAGCCCTATGTTTTCCTTACAGGTCACCTTTAAAAAACCATGGCATTTTGCAAGCCCTTCAAAGAAAGCCATCTCCATTCCCAGTTTTCCTGCGCGGTCCAGAGTCAGCTACAGGTTTCTGTGTTAGCACTCAACAGACGATAGCCATCTGCCACTTCTTGTTTATCCCACTGAACTGGAAGCAAGCCCAGAGTCTTTGCATTTCTCAAACTCACTGAAAACGCGGGGCCTTGGAGAGCAGAACTGGACAGCTGATTTACTTTTATGATTTTAAGACAAAAATAGAACATCCGCCTAGCAGCCAAAGAGCTTGTGCACACTCAGCGATTGATGTTGTAAATCTAAGACTGAGCAACTTCACTTGATACGTCTCTAAGGATGTACATGATCCATGGGTTGGGTTAGCCTAGACAAATTCTCTTCTGTCCTGCTGTCCAAGGACAATGCCTGCCTTCAGGGGCTTTCCCCTCCCAATCAGCAAGTTCTCAAGTATAGCAGAACTCCCAGTGACTTTGGTGGGAACAGATTCTGACCCTTGGAGCACAATTCCACATCCTTCACTTATGTTGGTGAGCACTGAACGCATGTGAATAGTCCCTCTGAAGTCAATAGAAGCTACCTGCATAAGTGTGTGCTAACCAATGGGAGTAAAGGTTACACAGTCAGGCCCTCATCATTTCTCCAAGGGAATCTAAGCTTATCTTCCATATGAGGGCTAAAGGATGGGGCAGGTGAGCAGAGGGTGAGTATATCAATGACCTCACAGAGACCTAGGGGGGCAGCTAAGCAGCCCCACCAAATACAGGGGGTGACTATATCGGTGACCTCACAGAGGCCAAGGGGCAGCTAAGCAGCCCCACCTAATACAAAGGTGAAGGAGGCAGTAGTCCAGCTGTCAGACACAAAGGGTGGAGCATGGGCAATCGGGCCGCTCTGGATACAGGGAGAGGAACGGTGAGTGTGTGCCCAGGCAGAAGGCTGCAAGGGTCAGTGAGCTACCAATTCCACCCTTGCTTTAAAACAGAGAGGCCATTCCACTGGGTCCCGGGGGAGGGGGAAATGAAGCAATGATCCCACTGCCAGATCATAGGCGTGCACAGCCCATTTCATTAGGGTGTGCACCCAGGGAGCCCCGCCCTAGCCCTGCCCCATCCACTCCCTCCTACTTCCTGCCCCCTGACTGCCACCCTCAGAACCCCCAACCCCCCCGCTCCTTGTCCTCTGACTACCCCCTACTGGGATGCCTGCCCCTAACTGCCCCCCAGGACCCCACCCTCTATCTAAGCCTCCCTGCTCCTTGTCCCCTGACTGCCCCCCTAGGACCCTACCCCCTACCTGTCCCCTGACTGCCCTGACCCTTATCCACTCCCACGCCTATCCAACCGCTCCCCGCTCCCTGACAGGACCCCCAGAACTCCCGACCCATCCAACCCCCTCTGCTCCCTGCCTCCCCCAACCCCTCTCCACACCCCTGCCTCCTGACAGCCCTCTCCAGAACTCCCAACTAATCCAATCCCCACCAGCTCCTTGTCCCCTGACCACCCCCTCCAGAGGCCCCCCCACCCTAACTGCCCCCCCAGGACCCTCCTTGCTCCCTGTCCCCTGACCCCTATCTACCCCCCACCCCATGACAGACCCCGGGACTCCCATGCTCCATCCAACCCCCCCTGCTCCCTGATTGCCCCCTCCAGAGACCCCCCGCCCGTAACACCCCCGCCCGGGATCCCACCCCCATCCAACCCACCCTGCTCCCTGTCCCCTGACTCCCCCCACCCCTTATCCAACCCCCCTGGGCCCGGACTCCTTACTATGGCATGAGATGAGGCTCCTAGCCTCCCCATGGAGCCAAACGCTGCCCCGCGGGAGCGTGCAGCCCCGGCCCCCAGAGCGCTGCACGCGGCGGCAGGGCTCCAGGAGAGGGGGGGAGGTGTCTGCCTCCCCGTGGAGCCAAACCCTGCCCCATTGGAGCGTGCAGCCCCGGCCCCCAGAACGCTGCGCACGTGGACCTCCTGGAGACAACTTCTTCTGTTAAAAACCTACCAGGGGATCCCCTCTCCACCTACCTTCTTTTCCCCGCTCGGAGCCAGTGATGGTGAGATCGTTACAAAGAGACTGCCTGGCAGGGGATTTGAGCTCTGCTTGACTTCAGACAGTTGGGACGAGCTTCTCCTGACAGCCAGCGTTACGCCATGTCCCACATTCAGGCTTCCCCATCGCCAAGCATCTCCCTTTGGCTACAGGGCCTGGGTGTGTGGGAAATCAGGCTTGTGCTGCAGTGTTTTGATCAACAGCTCACCAAAATATGTGGAGTGAGAACCTTGTAGCCTCAATAAGAACAAAGACAATTACCATGAGGTTCAACACATTGATCTATTATTGTGGGTATTGTTTTCACCTGCTCCCTTTCCTCTCCGTGCCCTCCACCCCACCCCCAGCACCATTTCAGCAGAAGGAGGTGGTATCCAGCCAGTCCGCTTCCTGCACTCTGACTCACTTTCTGAGAACTCAGCAAGGCAAAGTTTCACAGACTGCAGACAAGCACTACACCAAGGGAGCTAGAGATTTTCTCTCCCCCTAAATGGTATCAACAGCTTGCTGTCTGTGTGTGTGTGTGATCCCCAGGGAAACCCTAGCTGCTGGGCGGGGCCCGTACTCCTTGGCTCTGGTGTACGGAAAGTTTACATTAGAGAGTTATGTGAAAATAGAGACCATTCCCCATGCTCCCTCACATTTGCCTGCAGAGTACCATGTGCACTGACAAAATCCACACCGGTTTGCTGGTGATCAGCTATGCCACCTACCTACTCTTGGGTGCGATCGTATTCTGGGCTCTGGAGAAGAATGCCGAGATAGAACAGAAAAGGGCAGTAATCCAAATGAAGGAGGCGTTCCTGCAGAACTTCGCCCACCTCACTGTGGCAGATGTTGAGCAGTTTGTGAAGGTAAGGGATGCTGCGGCAGCGTGGGATGGTTGCCTCTCTAGCCTTCACGTGCAACCAACCTGGTTTTGACTTACATGGTGTTTTCTGTGCCACATGCAGGTAACGAGTGTTGTGTCTTTTCTTGTGCATCCATTGGGGAGATTTCATTTAACCACTGATGGGTGAATCCTAAGCCCAATGTACAGTCTGAGTAGACAGACCAGACACTGGGCAGCTGGCCCGAGCAGCAGCTGCTCCAGTCCCCAGAAGGACTGGGGCACCTGCATAACAGTGGCTTCTCTGACGCCATTCTTACATGGGCCTGTTCCCGCCCACTCCCGGGCATGCTGCCATGCACAAAAAGCTGGGCTCGCAGCCCCAGGCTGGATCCCTAAATTCTGCTGCTGCTGCTCCCCCCAAAATCTTTCACAGAAGCACCAAACCGCATCACCAACTCACACAATTTTATCATGAATCCCGTGCCATTTCTTAATTCCCCAGCTCCTGGAGTCATGTGATTACATGAGCATCTCAGCTTTCATTTGAAATAAAAATGTAAATTTCTAGCCCTCCAGGCTTGGGAAGAAAAGCCAAAAAATGTGACCCCTTAAAGGTTCAGAAACAAGACGACAAATAAAAACAAATAAAAAACATCTCTGCCATTCCTGACTCTCGGGGACAGGGGAGCAAAGCCATGGTGTGAGATCATTCTGGTGCAATTTATTCCATCTTGTGTCTAGCCTCTGGCCAGTCTCATCTCTGGAATGTATCTAGGCTTGTGTCTGTATCAAATCAGTCATAGTGCAAGTTGTCCAGCCCTGCTTCCTCAGGTTGCTAAGGGCAGGCCGAGCTGGAGGCAGCTTTTGTTTAAAGCTTTATCTTAAAATACGCACATCACTTAGCATTAGAACAGAGAAAGACGGAAGGTGTCAGAAAACTCATCTTTGAAAGTATCATGTGTGTGTTTGGTGGGTGGGGGGATATTCACAGAACCATAGAAATGCAGGGCTGGAGCTTTTCGGGACCTCAAGAGGTCATCTCTAAGTTATCCCTCTGTGCTGAGGCAAGACCAACTAAATCTCTTAGACCATCCCTGACAGGGGTTTGTCCAACCTGTTCTTCAAAAAAACCTCCAATGACAGGGATTCCACAGCCTCCATGGGAAGCCTATTCCAGTACTTAACCATCCTTATAGCTAGAAAGTTTTTCCTAATACCTAACCTAAAACTCCCTCGCTGCAGATTAATCCCATTCCTTCTTGTCCTACCTTCAGCGGACATGGAGAACAATTAATAACGGGATAGTACGACACATTTTGGGCTAGTCTCTGATTGCGATTACACCACTGTACATCTAGATACGTTTCATCTAAGTCAATGGCGTTCCTCTGGATTTACATGGGGGTAAAAAAGCAGAATCTGGCTCTTTGCCTTAAAATAATATTTTTCTAAGTGGATATCATACAGAGCCCAATGTATCCCTGATGTAAGCTCACGTATGTCAAAGTAGGAATTAATTTGAGCCTTTCTGTTGCTTTGTAGGGTAGGGGATTGCCACAATACGTTTGAAGAGTGGTGTATATTGATTTGCATGAATACAGAGGCTACTGGCTTTCTGTTTATATGGATGCCCTAAGAATAAAGTATATTATTGTTGTTACTTTATGACTAGGAGAACCTTTTCCTCCCTAAGTATTTCTGAATGAGCAAGAGATACAATTTCCATATTCTGCTCTCACATCCACGTCTGCACATAACTGAGTTCAGTGGGACTGCTTGGATAGAACAGTGCACAGTATTTAACAGAGTGGCCCTGAGTCTCCCTGATGATGCAATGGTTTTATTTCATTCTGGTGGTGCACAGCAGCCATAAAGCTGGCTTAGTTCTCCTTCAGATTCTCTGTGCAAAATGGGAATCTCTAAATGATATAGGCCTAGCAGAACAGCTCTGCACTTCCTAGCATAGAATTGTGGCTGGATGAGAGGAGCAAGGCCAGAGAGTTTGCTCTGGCTCCTGGATTGCTGGAACTGCCCTTTTGGGCCACTGGCAGCTAGGCATAACTTAGAGCAGTTTTGAGGCTGCTCTAAGTTTCGCCAAGCAGGGCTTTGGAGCTGTGCTCCGGCTCCGCTCCAGGCAAAAACCTGCAGCTCCACTGCTCCGGAGCTGCTCTATGCTCCAGCTCCGGGCTCCACTCCAAAGCCCTGTTGCCAAGGGTAGAATTGGCCACAAGCTGGGGCCATGATCAGGGATCCACAAACATGACATAAAGCCATCTTTATTTCTGGTCCTGCACTGGCAGCATCTCAGCTGGATGCGAAAATTGGGGTCAGTATATTTTTCATCTACCTGTCTTGTTTTGCATTGGCCCAGGATATTTTACAGGCCCAAAGTGAGGATTTCTCGTTACACGTTGTTTCGTTTGAAATGATCAGGTGTTTGAAAACCTGGCTGTACACTTAAAGGATTCACAGTGTTCAAATTTATCTTCACACAATAGAGTATGTTTGCAGGCAGGTTATTTACAAAGAATAAGTTCAATGTAAACCTGGGAGATCACATGAAAAAAAACTCATGTTCAGGAGAAATCCCATATGATAAATTCCCTCCCTTTATTTTTCTAGTGTAAAAGTCAACAAGGTTTCCAAAGCACTGGTGAGCCTTGAACCATAATTGGCATCACCCTATGGTTTTAACAATTGCTGTCTCCATTTCTTCTGGCAGACTAGCTACAGTCCCTAATGAGTACTGAACTGTTAGAATCTGGAAGGGAGGGAAAATATACAGCTAGCAGGGCATCGATTTTTTTCCCCTTTAACCTCCTAAAATAAAGTTAGAGAATGCCAAGGAATGATTCAGGTGTTGGGGAGTGTTCCTTACAGTTGCACCATGGAGAACCGTATCTCCCAAACTGCCAGGGCCCAGCTACGGGACACCAGGAGGAAGAACCAGCCAAAGAGACCAAGGATGGAAAATAACAAGGCAGTAATGTAAAAATGCAGCAGGCTGAATTGCTTTAGCCTATACAAGCCGTTTTCATGATTCTGCGCTTCTGCAAATAATTTAGGCTAAACACTATAATGCTAGGTCAGTGGCGGTAAACTTAGTTCTAAAAAGCCCAAGTGATCTCTCATAGGGCCCATTCCAGCTCCCATCTAAATGATCAGGTAAGCACATGGCACTATCTGAAATGCTGATTGGCTGCTGGTGAGCTGGTAGCCTTCTTGGAAGCAGGAGTGCTAGTAGTACTGGCAGCAGAGTTTGCCTATAACTTTGCATAACATATGATCTATGGATACTCACAGGAAAGGGGCCGTGGCGGGCTGATTCCTCTGTTTTATCACAATGGACCGTGAGAATGGGGAGGTGTTCATATCAAACTTTGGTTTCGCTCGCAGAACCTGACTGACGCTGTGCAGAGAGGAGTATATCCAGTAGGAAACGAATCACAGACTGAGGTCAGCAACTGGGATTTCAGTAACTCCTTCTTCTTTGTGGGTGCAGTGGTATCCACAATAGGTAGGTTTGGTGCTTTTTTCCCCCTCTGCCAAATATAGTTATTATCGCCCTAAATGACTGTGCTTCAGACAAATTCAGTCAGGAAATAAAGCATACGTTTTTAACAGTGAGAGTAATTAACCATTGGAACAATTTACCCACGGTGGCGGTGGATTCTCCATCAGTGACAATTTTAAGATCAAAACTGGATGTTTTCCTAAAAGCTCTGCTCTAGGGCTTATTTGGGGGAAGTTCTCTGGGCTGTGCTATAGAGGCAGATGATCACGATAGATTATCATGGCCTTGGGAGCCATGGCTGTGAATTTACTGCTTTTCCTGGGCCAGGATGAGAAGCAGCAACTGACTTGGCCATGAGGCCTTACAGCTGCACGATTCATCGTTCACAGTATTATTTTAGTTGGTAACGTGACAACGGCCTTTTACAGCTCAACCTCCTCTTCCCTCTCTGTCTGTTCCTTCCTAGCCATAGACTCATCTGTTAAAACCTTGGCTCAGCTGCCAGTCATGGGTTGAAGATGGACTTGACTTTCCCTGGTTTTCATTCCTAGGTCAAACAAACTGTAAATCTTACCCAAGGCAGCTGCAAGGCAACAAAGAATGATAGGGAACAACTGAATGCAGCTGGGCTGTAGAAGGCCATTACTATAGTACATACTGCACCAGCATACCCGCAATTTTCACTGCTGCCAGGAGAAAAGATGGGGGAGGGACAAGGTGAATACCATCACGGCCAATTCAAGCACAGTGCTGTCCTTAAAGCTAACAGAAATTGAGGCCGCTGGACTTGGAGGCAAAAACCAAAGAGTGTCCAAAGTCCTCTGTGGCCTAGAGGTCTCCATCAACCTGGAAAAACCATCTCATGACCCAGGATATCACAGGCAGCTAGAGACAGAGGCCTGCTCAGTGCTTAACTAGGAAGTAGGGATGTAAAAGGTTAAACGATTAACCGGGGGAAGCATTAGGCTTACCGTTAACCAACCTTAACCATTAACCTGGCCGGAGGGGCTCCAGCCCCAGCCACACTGGGCTAGCAGGAGGGACCCCGGCCGTGCTGGTCAGCTAGAGGGACTCCAGCACTGGCCACACTAGGCCAGCCAGCCAGTGGGACCCCAGCCTCAGCCAGGCCAGAGCGGCCCCAGCGCCAGCCAGCTGCAGGGACCCCAGCCCCAGCTGCCCTCCGCTGGCTGGCTGGAGGGACCCCAGCCCCAGCCCCTGCTGTGCTAGGCCGGCTGGAGTGACCTTGGATAACAGTTAACCAGTTAAACGACATAATTGTAATAGTTTAACCAGTTTACTTTTTTAACCGATATTTACATCCTCACTAAGAAGGTGTTTGATCTGGATGAGAGAGGCCAAAAGTGCAGTGAGATGAAGACAAATAGCTCTGTCTCATCCAAACGGAGAATGCAACTACCATCTGGTAACGCAGGCAGAGGTAGTGTAAGCTCCCATGGCCTAAAGGCCAATGAACTAGGGCACTGTCTTATTTTCTTTCCCCCCTAAATAGGACCATTGTATTATCAGGCCATGATTGACTTGTGCTGGGATAGCGCCACTTCTCAGGAACACTGACACACTAAGGACATGAACAAAGCCTGGGACTATCACTATATGACACGCACCTTGCAGCAGCTGAATGGCTATGGGGGAGGGGACACGCGACAGTAAATTCTTAGAGTTATGCAGCCATTGTCTCATTTTTCAGGCGTTGCTCCCCTTTAAAAACACCTGATGGCAAATTTAACCCTGGTGTAAATAAATTCTTTATCTTTAAAGGCCTGGTCTACCCACCGATTTCGTACTGGTATAACCATGTCAGGAAGGTGTGTGGTTTTTTTTTTAACGGATGTAGTTATAGCAGTACAAACCCTTGTGTGGATGCACTTATACTGGTATAACAATGCCTTTCACTTGCAGAGCTTATTCCCCTTCCTGTATGGCCCTGCACCGCTGTAGCGTTTCTAGTGTAGACATACAGTTACATCAGCATGAAGGTGTCTACATTAGAGGGATTGTACCAGTTTAACTAAGCTGCTCAGGCCGTAGTTCATTGGATCCAAGTTAGCTGGGTTTTAACCATGGATACGTTTGTCCATTCGTCACCATTAGAATGTTGCTGCATTCTCGGTGACGTCAGTGGAACACCAGGAATACCTTTGATCCCAGGTGTCGCTCGCTTGTTTTTGTTAAATAGTGTGTGTTTATTCCCAGCAGCCCATTCCATTCCAGGCTACGGTTCATCACATCTCACAACCTGAGCACAGTCAGTCCCTGTCCCTTTCTCCCAAGGAAAACCCACTGTGCTACAGAATGTGGGGCTGTACATTCAATAGGTGGCATGCTTCCCTCCGCTTCGTACTTGATCCAGTTCTTTAGTATGGTGCTATTGTAACCCACACACCACCTGGGTGTGGTGTTCTGTCCTGTCCCAGCTAGTGGCACCGAGACCACTTAGAGAGAGAGAGAGAGAGAGAGAAAATAAGTCTGCTCTACAGCCTTAGCTAAGAGCCACTTGGCTTTTAGCTCATGCGGTAGAGGCTCATGCACTAAGCTCCAGAAGCCGCAGGTTCGATCCTGCTGACCAGGGTCTATCAGCCTTACACTAAGGCGGGGGTGGGAGGGAAGGCCTGTGATGCTGGAATATCCCATCTTTCTAATGAAACTTAAGGCTAAAGTCCTGGCCATTTATAACCATTAAGGATCTTTTGCAGAGGGATATTAGCCCCGGAGTCCTGGCCAAATTCCACTTTCTGCCTATGTAATCGATCTCTGTGTTTTCAATTGGCTATAAGGGGTGGCTGCATTTCAGTGGTGGGTGAAGTGACACCTATCATGGCACATTTACAATCCCTTGGGATGAAGGGCATTGTTATAAGGTGATACTATATTATGTACAACTGTTAAAGAGTTGGGATTCCTGGAGCCATTAAAATAAGAGGGAAGTTGTGGGATTGCAAATTTTAGAGTCACTAAATTAAGAGAAGGCGCAGGATTTTTCCATGTGTGATGCCAACTCACATATTCCAAAGCTGTCAGTGGGTTTCTTAGTGCAGTGATCCCTGAGGGACAAGAAATTAGATGGGAGTTAAGATTCAGGAATGGGGCTTATCTGATCCTTGAGCAGCAAACAGTCCAAACTCCAGCCTTGACATCTTCCAGATCCCCTAACTTCTGGTTTCTTTCTTTCCATGTTGTATCTACTTGCATACTTGTAGCAGTGGATAATGTGTTTTTGTACATTGTTTTCAGATTATAATGTAGTTCAAATGAAGGCCAGGCTGGAGCCAAACACAGCACTCTCCGAACCCTAAAAATATGCAGAATGTATCATTTAATCAGTCTCTCTGCTTTGATTGGAAAGAGCATGAGTCTGACTACGGAGCACTAGGAATGCTCGTGATGTGCTAAAGCTGTGTTGGCATAAAAGCAAGAAGTGGGACATGCATAAGCGCCAACTCCGTGAGTGCTCCGGGGCTGGAGCACCCACAGGGAAAAATTAGTGGGTGCTCTGCACCCACCGGCAGCCAAGCTCCCCTCTCCCACTGAACATGCCGCGTCCCCGCTCCTCTGCCTACCTCCCAGCGTTTCCCACCGGGACACCACCAAACAGCTGTTTGGCGTTAGCACGCTCCGGGAGTGGGGGGGGAGAAGCGGGAACGTGGCGCACTCAGGGGAGGAGGCAGGGAAGAGGCGGGGCCGGGGTGGGGATTTGGGGGAAGGAGTTGGAATAGGGGCAGGGAGGGTGTGGAGTTGGGGTGGGGACTTTGGGGAAGGGGTTGGAATGAGGGGGGAGGGGTGGGGCCTCATGGAAGGGGTGGAGTGGGGGTGGGGCCGGGGAGGGTCGAGCACCCATGGGAAGAAGGGGAAGTCGGCGCCTATGGGGACACGTCTGAATGTGTCTATATGTGCAACCGGATTAGAAGCTCAAGCTCTAAGGGGAAGCCTCACTGGAATGCTCCCTGTTGCCTTTTTGTCTTTCAATAGGCTATGGCACCCAGTGTCCTAAAACGGTTGCTGGCCAGATCTTCTGTGTCTTTTTTGCTTCATTTGGAATCCCTTTGACTATCGTTTTCCTGCACCGGGTCAGTAAGATGCTTTCTCTGCTGTGTGAAAGGCTTGGGAGATGGCTGTATGAGAAGGGAATGAAAAAGGTAATCAGTTTCATTCTCTCAATGATTGTTTGTATGCTGGCTTTAGGTTTTCTTCCAGATATATCTCAGTTACTTTCTATGTTACTTATGCACCCAAGCGGTGTTAGGTGCTGTACAAATGCATATGAAGAGAGAGTCCCTGCTCTAAAGATTTTATACTCTAAAGAGATGAGACAAGGTTGTGGGGAAATAGACATATATGCAAAATATCTTCCGCACTGTAGCAAGGTCGCCGACTCACCGGCACAGTGCCTCCTGCTGGTCAGTCTGGGAATTAGCTCTTTCCAGCACTTGGAGCGCCTCCTGCTGGCCAGTGTCTCTCCTGCCTCAGGCCCGTGTCCCTCACCTTGGGCTTCTGCCCACCACAGCACCCCCACACTCAGGGTCTCCCCTCTCAGGGGAACCCCCAACCCCCTAAGCCCACCTTGCCTCAGTGGCTACTGCCAGTCCTCATCTAGCCCCCTCTCAATGGGGCAAACTGCAGTCTATAATGGCCACACATCATTGGCAAGGGGATCGGACCAGCTGCCTCTGCCTATTCCCGGGCTGCACCTCTGTAGCCCCAGTACCTGCTTGGGCCTTTACCAAGGCCTCAGCCTGGGGAGTTGCCAGGCTGGAGCTCCCCAGCTCCTCTTGCCCTTTTCCCCAGCACTGCTCTGCTTCAGGTACCCTGTGCTGCCAGGCACTTAGGTCCTTCCCACTCCAAGGCTGGAGTGAGACTCCCCCAGTTCCTCCCTGAGCCCTTCTTATACTGGCCCAGCCCGGCCCTGATTGGCCACCTCAAATCCACTCCTGATTGGCTCCCCGGGGCAGCCCTTTCCCAGGGCTGTTTTTAACCCCTTTCTGACCAGAGCAGGGTGACCACCCTGCTACACACACCTACAAAAATATGAGAAATTTTAGCAAAATATCTGGGGTGATGCAAGGTGCCTGGCTTGTTCCAAGATACAAGCTACCCCTCTCCTCCTGTATCCTAATGGCCTAAACTGCCTGCTGTCACACCACGAGCCAGCCGCCCACTCTCCAACACTCCACGGGGTCAGAGACAAAGAACAAACAGCCCACCAGAAGAAGGCCATTCTAGTCAATGTGTTGAAAGACGGGGATGGGTCTCTTGGAGTTGGAGGCAAGGGCTCTCAAGGCTGATTGTGCCCCAGAGGATAGGTCTACATTGCAGCTGGGCGCGAGCCTTCCACCCCAGGTAGACAGGCTTGTGCTAGCAGGGCTCACACTAGTGCACCAAAAAGAGCTGCATGGAGGTTGTGGCACCGGTGGAGGCTCAGGCTAGCCGCCCGGGCTCAAGCCTGCCCTACCCCCTGAGTCAGAGCTCAGCTGTCCAGCCTGAGCCTCCACCGGGGCGGCAGTGCCCACCCAGTGATTTTAGCATGTTAGCGCAAGCTCCGCTACCACAAGGGGGCTCGATCCCAGCTGCAGTGTAGACATACCCAGAGTCTCTAGCAGCTCCTAATGCTCTCCCCACTGCTTTTGAGGTGGTGGGAGTTATTCTTCTGGGGCCGCTGAGTAATCTAAGTTCTCCCATAAAAAGCGGTATCAGCGCTAAAGCCATTTCCTTTCATCCTTCAAACAGGTAAATCTCCCTCCCCAGGCCTGCCAAAATTCCATAGGCGTGGAATGGAAGGATTGCACCAACAAGGGATCTGGGGTGTATACTGCTCACCCAGCCCTCTCCAGTGTGGGTACCACGGTTGTCCAGTTTCCTTTCCTTTAACCCAATTTCTACTTGTAAATTTCATACCTACAAAAAAAAAAAAAAAAAGAGACAGATTTGCAAATTTGACACCATCAGCTCAAGATTAAACAAAGACTGTGAATGGCTATCCAACTACAGAAGCAGTTTCTCCTCCCTTGGTGTTCGCACCTCAGCTGCTAGAAGAGGGCCTCATCCTCCCTGATTGAAATAACCTCATTATCTCCAGACTGATCCTTGCCTGCATATTTATACCTGCCCCTGGAAATTTCCACCCCATGCATCTGACGAAGTGGGTATTCATCCACGAAAGCTTATGCTCCAATATGTCTGTTAGTCTATAAGGTGCCACAGGACTCTTTCTCGCTTTAAAAAAAAAAAGAGATAAATTTTAGCATATACCAAACCCTTGCCCCAGCCAGGCCCCCCATTCTTGACTGCAAGGAGAAGGGATGGTGCAGGAGCTGCTGCGCTGTCTCTCCACCACTGGAAATTCCCCCAGCCTCGGGGTGCTCCCCTAATGGAAAGCCAGCGCCGCACAGTCCAGGGTCTGGGCCTTAGTGACAGTTATTTGGACTGGTTGGAAATTTTCCATGGAAAATTTAAATTTTTTTGGTCAAACAACTGAACACCCAGAATCCAACTAAATCTGAAATATTTTGGCTGAAAATAAACATTTTGATTCTAAAAAGGGCAGCAAGGTACCTCATGGGAGTTGTAGTTCAAGTGTTTCATGCTCTCATTCAGCTCTCTGGGGCTGGACTTCATCTCCCATGATGCATCGTGGCTATGTGATGGCTATAATAGGTGACCTCTCCTCACCAAGGAGTGAGGCCATGGTGCCTCAAGGGAAATATAGTCCTTTTGTGTGGCCGTGTCAACCTTTAACTCCTGCAGGCCTGGGAGGAGTTCCTGTCCAGCTATTCATCCAAAATACTCACGTTGTGTAGGATTTCCTCATGTGTCCGAGTGGACTGCAATTTCTGTTGGTTTATTTTTCAGAAGAAGATCAAGTTTCTGACCCTTCTCTTCTTCCTGGTGATGGGCATTCTAGTGTTCCTGTGTCTGCCGTCACTTGTCTTCCAGGTGGTGGAGGGCTGGTCCTACAGTGAAGGAATTTATTTTGCATTTATCACCCTGAGCACCATTGGCTTTGGAGATTACGTAGTAGGTAAGGATAATAGTACTTCTCTCTGAATTAAAAGGTGGTAGAATTACCACTGTAGTGACTAAAAGGAGAGAGAATCGTAGAATATCAGGGTTGGAAGGGACCTCAGGAGGTCATCTAGTCCAACCCCCTGCTCAAAGCAGGACCAATCCCCAGACAGATTTTTACCCCAGTTCCCTAAATGGCCCCCTCAAGGATTGAACTCACAACCCTAGGTTTAGCAAGCTAATGCTCAAACCACTGAACTATCTAGGACAAAGCACAAGTGAATGTACACTAGTAAGCAATGCTGCATTCAATGGTCTTTTCCAGCGCTAGCTTTTGTAATTCTCGGAGGACTGACCAGTTTCCTGGGGGCAGCCCAGAACGGCTCAGGGTACCCAAATGCCTAGACACTATGAAACGTGGTGCTTTATACATAGAACAAAAAGATGCAATGGTTTGGGGGGGCAGGAGGTTGGGGAGTAAGAGAGGAGACTTGGAGGTGTCCCAACTACAAAATCTTACGTGTGTATCTGACTCTTGTGTTTTATTCAGTGAAGAAATAATCAGGGCTTGTTTTAAAATACCTAATGTTTAAGCAACGTTCTTCACAGCTTCAGTCTTTGATGAAGAGTGAGCAGAAAACTTATCCTGGAGGTAGAGACCTATACCTCCACTAACATGACTCCCCATAGAAATTAACTCCCGTGATCCCCTATACGTCATTAGACCCTCCTGGACATCACACATGTGGGAGTTCAAAAGTTCTCCTGAAGTTAAACCCTATAAAACACAGCCTAGCTAAGCAAAATCATTCTACAAACATCTTTAGGTATTTCTCACCAAAATATTCTCTCTCCATTTGCTTTTGGAATGAACCCCTAGAGAGACCCCGCACAAGAGAACTCCAGAGTCCAAACCACTGTCAGCAGAAATGATCAAATCTTGGTATTTTGTCAAAGTGAACAGATTCCTCCACAGTGCGTGTCCTGGTAACATGCTGGCAACCAGAATTTCCTCTCCACAGAGAAATGACAAGGAAACAGCATTTGCATTGGTACTAGAAGATCAGTGGCTTAAGTGCAGTGAGTTTGGAGGTCTCGCTCCAGTTGTCAGTGGACAGGCCATTCACAGCACAAAAAGATCACCTCTGCCGGTATGCTTAAATTCAGCAGAGAGGCCAAGAACAGAACGGCATGGAGACTGGCTATCTTTCCTTCTCACCCATTGTGAGGACTTCCTCCAGGTCAGGGCTAAGGTGTGTTGGCAGAATGGTGTGGGGAAACTTGCACTGACATTGCCTGTATTCTACCTCTTTTGTGAGTAACTAAACTCCTGTCTCTGGGGCTGACAATCCAGCTTCTTTCACAAGCCCCTAATTTCCCCCCGTCCCCCAAAAGAGAGGGAGAGGAAGAGAGAGAGAATTCTGATTGGAACATCAAAGTCAGTGTGAGGTTGAGAATATTTTGCACCTCACAAGATAAAGGGCTAAGAGACAGAGGCAGCAACGGAACTAACTGTGACATCTGCCCCTGGTCCAAATGAAATGGGTACTTTAAAATAACTGGAGCAAATTACGGACAGAAGAACAACATCTAGGGTTGCCAGGCGTTTGGTTTTTGACCGGAAAGCCCAGTCGAAAATGGACCTTGGTGGCTCCAGTTGGCACAGCTGACTGGGCTGTTAAAAGTCCGGTCGGCAGCACAGCGGGGGCCCAGGGCTAAGGCAGGCTCCCTCCCTGCCCTGGCTCTGCGCAGCTCCTGGAAGTGGCCGCCAGGTCTCTGCGGCCCCTAGGCGCAGGTTGGCTCCGTGCGCTGCCCCAACCTCAAGTGCTGACTCCGCAGCTCCCATTGGTTGTGGGAGCTGTGGGGGCAGTGCCTGTGGGCGCGAGGGCAGTACACGGAACCTCCCTGGCTGCCCATGCAACTAGGGGCCGCAGAGACCCCTCCCACACCCCAACCCTCTGCCCCAGCCCTGAGCCTCCTCCCACATCCAAACTCCCTCTCAGAGCCTGTACCCTATACCCTCCCACCCCAACCCCCTGTAAAATCTGTAAAAAGCAACAGAGGGTCCTGTGGCACCTTTAAGACTAACAGAAGTATTGGGAGCATAAGCTTTTGTGGGTAAGAACCTCACTTCGTCAGATGCAAGTAATGGAAATTTCCAGAGGCAGGTATAAATCAGTATGAAGATAACGAGGTTAGTTCAATCAGGGAGGGTGAGGTGCTCTGCTAGCAGTTGAGGTGTGAACACCAAGGGAGGAGAAACTGCTTCTGTAGTTGGCTAGCCATTCAGTCTTTGTTTAATCCTGATCTGATGGTGTCAAATTTGCAAATGAACTGGAGCTCAGCAGTTTCTCTTTGGAGTCCAACCCATGCAACAAACCTCGATGCCAACTCTGCCCACATATCTACACCAGCAACACCATCACAGGACCTAACCAGATCAGCTACAACATCACCGGCTCATTCACCTGCATGTCCACCAATGTTATATATGCCATCATGTGCCAGCAATGCCCCTCTGCTATGTACATTGGCCAAATTGGACAGTCACTACGCAAGAGGATAAATGGACACAAGTCAGATATCAGGAATGGCAATATACAAAAACCTGTAGGAGAACACTTCAACCTCCCTGGGCACACAATAGCAGACGTAAAGGTAGCCATCTTACAGCAAAAAAACTTCAGGACCAGACTCCAAAGAGAAACTGCTCAGGATTAAACAAAGACTGTGAATGGCTAGCCAACTACAGAAGCAGTTTCTCCTCCCTTGGTGTTCACACCTCAACTGCTAGCAGAGCACCTCACCCTCCCTGACTGAACTAACCTCGTTATCTCCATACTGATTTATACCTGCCTCTGGAAATTTCCATTACTTGCATCTGAAGAAGTGAGGTTCTTACCCACAAAAGCTTATGCTCCCAATACATCTGTTAGTCTTAAAGGTGCCACAGGACCCTCTGTTGCTTTTTACAGATTCAGACTAACACGGCTGCCCCTCTGATACTAAATATTCTCTAGCTTCTTTGAATCACTGCTAGCTGATGTAGTGCCTTTGGATAAAGATCACAAATGGCTCGATTTCAGTGGCTGCCAGGTATGAACCAAAATGCCATAATGAGCTGGCTGGCTTTAAAAAATGAGTGACAAGATCGAAAGTCACATAAGGAGCAAATCACTGGGGTAAGAGAACGTGATATGAGCAGGATTAGAAAAGGTGTTGGTCCTGTTTGAAAATGGGTTATTCTACCTGTCTCACGCAAAGCTGGGTGCAGTTCCTCCTCCCGGCCCTTTGGTTTAGGAAGGCTTTACAATTCTGGCTTATTGAGTACATCACCACTGATTTGATTCAGTTTCTTACTGTAAAAGGAAGTGGGCGGCTTTTCATGAGGAAATGCTGCTGTTTGAAATGGAGGCGTTGTCAAGCACCATGCATGCTGGATGGGCCTACCTGACTTGTGTAGGTTCTGCAGAACCTAAACTTCAATTTCAAAACGTTGGCATTTCCGCCCCTCCTGGTTGCCAGGAGAACCTTCCAAATTTGATCTGAGTCTATAGGATGCAGCCTGGTCTTCTTAAGCCTGCAATAGCAGTGAAAACACTGGCTTGGTGGAATCTGGACTCCCTAACCTGCCCTCATTGAGAAGAGCCACCAGACTGATTAGAAGGCCTGTCTTCCAGTTCTTTAATGATTGAGCTCCTTGAATCTATCGGCTTAGCTTAACAAAGAGAATTATTAAGGGATGGTGATCACAGTCCATAAGTATTGATACGGAGCATGGGAATTTGATAACAGAGGGCTCTTCAATCTAGCAGACAAAGGTATAACAAGATCCAATGGCTTAAAGTTGAAGCTAGACAAATTCAGACTAGAAATAGGGGGCAAGTCCCCTCTCAGGAGTGTTACCATGCTGTGGTGGAGGGGCTTGCGTGTTCCGATGAACCCCAGGGCTATGCCGCCTGGAGCCTAGTGCACCTGGTAGGGTCACCCAAGGCGAATAGGTGGGGGGAGGTTCCAGACTAAAAATGATCCACCTCAAGACCCTCATGAAAGCCCAAAAATGACCATGCAAACCTTGCCTGGACTAGGAATAATGGGATCTACCCCTGGGGGAGGTGTCAGGCGAGCGTCTGGTGTTCAGGCTACCCATGTAACCTGGCCGGGCCCAGCCCAAAAAGGCGATCCTCTGGATCGAGAGGAACCAGTTGAGGTGGTTCGGGCATCTGATAAGGATGCCGCCAGGAGGCTTCCGTTGGAACTATAGCGGGCATGTCCCACTGGGCGGAGGCCCTGAGGCTGACCCAGGACACACTGGAGGAATTATATCTCCTGGCTGGCCTGGGAACGCTGGGGAATCCCCTAGGAGGAGCTGGAACCTGTTGCGGAGGAAAAGGAGGTCTAGTCCTCCCTACTCTCCATGCTGCCACTGTGACCCTCACCAGGAAAAGCGGCATAAAAGAAGAAGAAAAAATAGTGTACAAGTTTTTAACAGTGATAGTAGTCAACCACTGGAACAACTCACCAAGGTTTGTGGTAGATTCTTCATCACTGGCAATTTTAGGTTTGGAAGTTTTTTTTTCTAAAAAAGATGCTCTTGTTCAAATAGGAAATAATTCAGGGGAGTCCGACAAGCTGTGTTATACAGGAGGTCAGACTAGATGATCACAAGGTCTCTTTTGGCTTTATAATCTAAGCATTTCATTATTTGTTGAGCTAATGATGACAGTTATGATGTCAACATTAACTATTTAATTGCTGTGTGTTTTTGCAGCTGAAAAGGGGAAGGGGGAGGAGTCAAGCTTCTGGAAGATGGATGGGTGGGAATAGCTGCAAGGAAGAAACTGCTCCTTTCCTCCCTGTGCGTTAAGGCAAACAGAGGAGAGAGAGAAATGAGGATGAGGAGGAAAGAGATACAAAGGGCAGAAACAGCAGAGGTATAAAAAGTGATGCTGAATGAGACAGTGAAATACTGAGGGTTTACTTACTGCACAAAGACTTTTCACCCTTGCTCTTTGTGCAAACACCTCCGTGAGCTCATGGGAGTTCCACTGGGGTTGAAGGGGGAACGTGGAGTTTGACATGTACAGCTCAGCCCAGAGGCTGTGACGGACAGCAGAGTTCAGCCCACTTGGTAGAATCAGTGCGACTCTGCCAGTTTAAAAGAAAAACCCTCCAAATCACACAACACAGCCAAAGCCAGGGGTCAGGAGAGCCCATTTCAGGGAATTTCACAACTAGTTGAACTTCATGGGTTCAAAGCACTCATCAACAGAAGCAAAACTTTGGGCAGTTTTTGTTCATTTAAGCAACACATCCCCTGGGTACAGGGGATGGGCAGGGCCTCAGGAACTTCAAGCTTTTGGGAGTCTTGAACTGGGTTTTTGTCTTCCGTAAGGCCTGGTCGACACTTAAAAATTAGGTCAACATTGGTCAGGTGTGTACAACACCCCCCAACACCCTGACTGATGTAGCAATGCCGACCCAACACCCAGTGTAGACACAGCTATGCAACGGGAGAATGCTTCCGTCAACCTAGCTACCATCGTATGGGGGAGGCGGCATCCCTACTCTGATCAAAAAACCCCTTCTGTTGGTGAGGCTGCATCTGCATGATGGGGTTATGCCAGCATTACTACAGCAACATAGTTATGCCGGCATAGCCTCTGTAGTGCCCTAAGAACAGGCTTGTTCCACACATACGAGTTGTGCCACTTTAACAATAGCAGTCAAGTTAAAGCAGTAGGAACCCCGACCCCAGTGCGGATGCAGTTGTATGGGTTATGAGCTCTACCTGTACAAGGCACCCTTATACTAGTACTGTATTACTGTGTCCACACTAGGGCTTGTACAATGTGACCACGTCCGTTAAAAAAAAAAAAAAAAAATCACACCCCTAACCCAAGTAATGATACTGGTTCAAAAACTGTCGGTAGGCTACGCTACAAATGGAGTTTGTCTCTCCCCCAAACGTCCCTTCACCCAATAAATTAAATCACTATTTAGCCCGCAAGTATGACTGAAGTTAAAAAAAATGTTTACATTTCTAATGGGAAGTCTGTGCTATATATTAGAGAAAGAACTACCCTCAGAACCTTGGATGACATAAAAAAGGTACCTCAGATATGGTATGTTTACTAGGTTTTTTTTTAAATATATATAGAATTACTTTCTCCACATCTCTCTGCTCTATTTTCCCAGTCTTTCCTATGTGGCTGGGTTAATCAGGCTATATACTTATGAATATCATTGCTATTAGCCCCATTTTACAGATGGGGAACTGATGCACAGAGAGATTAAGTGACTTGCCAGAAGTCACTCAAGAAGCCTGTAACAGAGCAGAGAATTGAACCTGGATCTCCTGAGTCCCCGGTGGGCACTCTAACCAATAGACCATCCTTCCTCCATCAGGCCATGTTTATTTAGATGACACCACTGAATGTTTATTCCTCTCTGCTTATCATTGGTTTCCCCCAAATCCTGGCTTGCTCAGGATGCTATGTAACCAAAAGATTGCTGAGGGCTTAATAAGAATTTCTCAAAGGGAATTACAATAAATCTCAGAAAAATGTAGGTCTCATAAGCCATTGTACGGCTGTACTGTGGCTTCTTTGAGCTACCTCTCGATATTTCATCCTCCCCCCTTGCACCCTCTTGTGGCTGTGTGTTGCTAGTCCCACAATACCTTTATCATCAGGAAATGACCTCTCTTCCCTGTTTCTATCCAGGTAAGTTATACTGCCCTCATCCCCTCACAGTCATTAATGGATTTCATTCTCATAAAGCCCGTGGGAGATGGGAGGACCTAACCCCTACATTGCAGTTGGGTAACAGACCCATCCATCCTACTGCTGTTCAGGAATCAAGTGGATCACGAAAAATAGCCCTTGGAGTCTTGCAATATTTCCTTCTGACTGCAAATCTCACTCAAAATCAAAACTAGAACAAGGCTTCACCTCAGTGCCTCAGGCTTTTTGAAACAGTCCTGAAATATTAAACAAATGCAATCCAGATTCCACTATTAAAGCCGCTTCTACTGAAGGGACCCACCTGCCCAAAGCCCAGAAAGCAGGAAGCAAATCCATCCTAAAAAACAATCGTGCGAGGCAGCAGGAGTTCCCCAGGGGACCAGTAAAGTGGTTTCTCCACCGAGGGACCTCTGCTGGCTGGAGTGGTGGCAAAAAACAGTTCAAAAATCTCCTTATCAACCCGATGCCCCAACACAGCTGATAGAATCCAATTTTCATAGGCAAGCCTCCCATGCAATTTCCAGCTCTCCCACTGCTGCTCAGTTTCAAAGGGAAACATTTCTAAGGCTGGCCAGCTACTTCCCCATCCATGAAATCAGTTCCAGCAATGCCCTAGGAGAATGATCACGAACAATATTATCAGGGAGTAAATGGCAACAAGGTGTCACGGCATTGAGCCTATGCTGCAATTACAATTCCCATCTGCCCACCAAGTCTTTGCTGTGCGCTAATACAAACACACTGTATAATACGTGCCCTTGGAAATGAACAAACAGTCCAGACAATACAGTTCCCTGCCCATTTTGGAAGCAGCCACCATGTTTTGTTTAATAAATCTTCCTCCCGAGAGACCCAGACCTGCACTTTGATCAATTGTAATTAGTACATGGCAGACAAACCGGTGATTGTTTGGGGATCTCATGAGGTCTCATTCAATTAATAGCCCATTCATTTCTGAGGATTTATTTTCACGTGGAATGGAAGGACTGTTTAAAGTAGTGAAACAGCTGAGAGTGACAGCTGTGTTAGTCTGTATCAGTAAAAAGAACAGGAGTACTTGTGGCACCTTAGAGACTAACATATTTATTTGGGCATAAGCTTTCGTGGGCTAAAACCCATGATGTGTTCTTTTGCTAATGCAACATCACACTCCAAAGAGCCAGGGGTATCATTTTTTAACTCCAGGCATTTCGGTTATTTCCAAGCTGAGCACACACTGTGTTTTCCACGCTAGCACACTGAGATGTGCGTTCTCCGCCGGACTCATGTTAGAAAACATGGAATTCAAAGAGGAAAATCTTTTTTACTCTGGTTTAAAAAACAAACAATATATAAACCAGCATCCAAGATACCTGCTCCTCATGGTTTAGGTCACAACCAAAGACATCGAAGGGCCAGACCCTGGGCCTACGTTAAGTCCTCCTTGCACCACTCCAACAGGACTTAAAGCTGTCCCAGAAATTCCCCTGTTGGCTTTAAGCCAACTGCTCCCAACCCTAAAGAAGCTATTCCAGGGTGGGTCAGTTGTAGGAGTTGGGGGCATGGCTGGTGCAAAACTGCACTGATCTCCAACTGGCAGAATGGTGCCTCGGGCTGGCGTAAGTTAGAGCACCCCCGGAGCTGCTCCAGTTTGCACCGGATGGGACTGATCCCTCTGGAACCAAGTTTCTCTGCCATCTTCCTTGGGCGAGTTTGCAAGTGAAATGTCACATAAAGCGATTGTCCCATCCACAGTTTTGCTGCTTGCTATTTTTACATCGCGCTATTGCATGCATCCAATTCTATGCATTCAACAGGGCGCTTTGCTTCACACCCTGAGACACACTCAATACAGTAGGTTTATCCTTCAATGGGTTTGAACGGATTTGGGGCTGGTCTTAATAGGTGCTCAGCACTCGGGTCCCCCAAAGTCAATGGGAGGTGAGGGCTCTGTCTAGGCACTATCCTACACCTACACCGCAGCTGGAGGTGTAGATTCTGGCTCGGGTGGATGGACCCACGCTCGCTTGGATTGAGCTAGAGCGCTAAAAGCAGCAGTGTAGCTATGGTGGTGTTGGGCTAGCCACTCGAGTACGTACTTAGCGTCTCAGACAGGATCATACTCAGGTGGTTAGCCCACCCCACCGCGGCTACACTGCTCTTTTTGGTGCGGTTGCTTGATCAAAGCTAGCGCAGGTACCTTTACCCGGTCTGGAAATTACATCTCCAGCTGCAGTGTAGAGGTACCCTCAGGGATGGTCAGCCACCTGCAGGCTCATGCCCTTAATACTTCGTTTGGCTTAAAAGCATCATTGACATGAGTGCTTTGATTAGACGAGGAGAAACACTTGGTTGCTGAGACACATTTCACTGTTTGCTCTGGTTTTACTTTGCAACAAGCTTCTCCATTAAACAAAACCACAGCTGGAACATAGCCTGGGATATTAGAAACACCAAGTAGAGTCATGGCCACCAGCGAATACAACTAGAACCAGTCGCCTGCACCCTGGCAAGGTTCAGAGATGGGTGCAAGCTGCCCAGGGCCTGTTTGCAAAAGAAACCCCTTCTTCAGGGTTAGGTCCCCACTGTTCCAACTTCCATCCATATGAGGAGGCTACTATATGGCTATCATTATAATTATCATGTACCTTGGCACTATATGTGGATCTATTAGGTGGATGCTAAATCTCAAACAATACATTTTTAATGATCATTTGGGGATCAGTCTCACCTGCAGGTTATTCCCCCTGAGGGGGCTAGAAAACCCAGGCGTTTGAGCTTGAAGAGCGTCTACGTGAGAGAGACAGGGTGGGTGAGAAGAAGACCTGACCTGAAGAAGACCTCTGTGGAGCTTGAAAGCTTGTCTCTTCCACCAATAGAAGTTGGTCCAATAAAAGACATTACCTCACCCACCTTGTCTCTCTCATATCCTGGGATCCAAACAGCTACAACAACTCTGCAAACAGCAGTTCTACATGGTTGTTCCATTAGATGGCTGCACTCAGCACAGGGCCATGAGAAATCTGCAGGAGATTATGCCTCCACCCATTTTCTCAACCCCCGGCCTGACCCCTCCCAGGGCAGCAAGAGTCAGGTTGCCAC